TAAGGTTAGTTGCATGGTCCGTTAGTATGGGCCCTTAAAATGGTACCACTTATATACCCGTTGTATACCCTACACAAATCAAGGGCCCATACATCAGAACCCTTTAAAGGAGGTTAGGGGCCATATTTCGGGCCCATGTAGCTACCGTTAGAAAACGGCCTGCCAATGCTCCCGTGCGTGGATAAGCCTTTGCAGACTGATCGCCTCTCATACCACGAAGGCTTCCCTTAGGTCTGGGGCGTTCATCCCAAACCCTAAACCCTAAACCCTAATCCCTAAACCCTGGCAACCGAGCATCGTCTTGGCCAACAACCTCATTGGTGCCGGGGCACAGGCCCGCCCACGATCACCACATCTGGGATGAGATACCTCCCGTACTGGGATCCTTTTGGGATGTTCCTCCTGATGTTAGCAGTCCTTAGTCGGGATGCTAGTACCCCCCATGATAACTCCTGTTAAGGACCCCCACCATACTTCACACATACCTCCTGTAAGCAGATCCTTGCAGCGGTTCTGTGCAGGTACCGAAAGGTTCGGACCCACAGACATGTGGGTAGTTCTCTAAATTAGGGTCCCTTTTTGGGATCCCTTTATCAAGGGTGCCCAAAAAGGGACCCTTTACCTAAACTAGACATGTACTTAAACGAGGAATATGACTGTTACTTGGCACGAAGACCCTCAACCCCAAGCCTCACCGTTGGCTAGTAGTAGGGAATGAGGGAATGAGGTAACTTATATCCCCTTATAAACCCGTTAAGGGATTTTAGAAAGCCTATGTTCCCTTATATATACCCTTTAAGGGATTATGACAGGGTACATCATTCCCTCATTCCCTACTAACAGTAAGAAGCAGGCCCTGGCGGCGGGCCTGAAGGAGAACCGATCCATCACCGAGATCGACTTTGGCTGTAACCAGCTCGGTGACGCAGAGGTCCAGGCGCCAATAAAGGAAGCAGGGTTTCGGTTTAGGGTTTAGGGTTTAGGGTTTGGGGTTAGGGTTTAAGGGTTCAGGGTTCAGGGTTTGGGGTTAGGGTTTGGGGTTTAGGGTTTAGGGTTTGGGTTTAGGGTTTGGGGTTGAGGGTTGAAGGTTGAGGGTTGAGGGGATGTCGAAGGTCTTCTTCGAGGTTCAGGGTACCTAGTAGCCCAATTATCAGTGTAGTTCTATCCTGCTTAGAAGCCCCTTAAGGTGCCCTAGTAGGGTTATAAGTGCAGTTACAACTGGGCTACTCAAAGTACCATGAACCTGCATGTAGATTTTTGCTGCAATTTGCTTAGGACCCCCCTAACAATTGACAATGTTCTTCCGTATAAGGTTAATGTAGGGATTACTTTCTTTTTTTCTTTGGGGCTCTAAGCCGAAACCCTAAACCCTAAACCCTAAACCCTAAACCCTAAACCCTAAACCCTAAACCCTAAACCCTAAACCCGCTCTTAGCCGCAGGCCCTGGCGGAGGCGCTCAAGACCAACCGCACACTGAAACGGCTCGGCCTGGGCTGCAACCACGTCACAAATGCTGGCGTGGAGGCTGGGCAATGAACTACCCTAAATCCTAAACCCTAAACCCTAAACCCTAAACCCTAAACCCTAAACCCTAAACCCTAAACCCTAAACCCTAAACCCTAAACCCTAAACCCTAAACCCTAAACCCTAAACCCCCCCCCCCCCCCCCCCCCCCCCCCAAAAAAAAAACGGGGGTCCCTCTTATGCCTTCTATACCTGACGCAAATCGAGTTAGGCTTAGTGCTTACGATGGAGGGCGGCAACCTTTCTGCCACCTTCGGGGGTTCATGTGTTTGGGATTGGGTTTGGCCACCCCCATGCACTTGATTGAGACAGTGCCCAAATGTTACCGGCACTGTATGGTGTCCTAACCCTAAACCCTAAACCCTAAACCCTAAAACCTAAAACCTAAGACCTAAAACCGAAAACCTAAAACCTAAAACCTAAAACCTAAACCCTAAAACCTAAGACCTAAAACCTACAACCTAAAACCTAAAACCTAAAACCTAAGCTTCTGGATGTAGGGTTTAGGGTTCCCTGGAGAGTGATTCTTGGCTTGTGGTTCCGCATTTCAGGCAGGATGGTCTTGTCATGCTGCTACGTTGCCCTCCGGAAGTCCCTGAGCCCTAGACCCCTCAACCCTGCTTGCTGATACGGTTCTGACCCATTACCCTCCCTAAACCCTGAACCCTGAACCCTGAACCCTCACAAAAATGCTGTCTGACAAACAAGCAGCAACACGCTGGACATGAGGCCTTGGCGGAGGCCTTGCAAGTCAATCGAAAGGCCACCTGTTTCAGAGTGATGGCTTCAGGCCGGATTCTGCTTGGAGGAGGTTCAGGGTGCTTAGTAACCCAATTATGACTGCACTTATAGCCCAATTTTGACCCTTTTAAGTGGGTTGGTTATAGCTACACATATAATTGGGGTTACTAAGTATCCTGAACCTCCAAGTAGGGATGACGGGCTGGTTGAGGGTTTAGGGTTCCCGAGTTTGGGTTGAGGGTTGAGGTAGACACTCAGGGAAATGCTTCAATGGGCATCTGCGATTGGTGAAGGCAGCTATGAAGACGGCATGGACCCTTGTAGTGTGTTTGGAACATCCTGCTTCATCATCCAATGATCTGCGCACTTCAAGCAAGCAACCCTAAAGGCATCCCCTAACCATCGCACCAAAAACCCTAAGCCCCAAAATCGCTAGCAAAAAGGAAGCCTATCCGGCACAAAGCTGCTTTCTGGAGCATGACCCCCTACACAACATGGGAGCAGGGGCAGTCTTCCCTGCCCTGCGTCCTGACGTTGTGCGGTTAGGGTTTAGGGTTTAGGGTTTAGCATTTAGGGTTTAGGGTTTACGGGTTTAAGGGTTAGGGTTTAGGGTTTAGGGTTTAGGGGCTTACCTATTGCAACGCGGTGCTTGAGCACAAGGACGTCTGCAGTGCAGCCCGCATCGGTGGACAAAACGGGCAATTGCCCTTATGCCTCGGTGTTGGGGACCCCGAAACTCTGGGCCCTTATGAAGTTTAGGGTTTAGGGTTTAGGGTTTAGGGTTTAGGGGTTAAGCCTATAGACCCTAATTCACACCCTACAGGGTTAGGGTCTAGAGGATTTTGGAAGAGAAAAAAGTCATGCAGCTATTAACCGCCTGAATATGTGTCCGGGCTAACAGATTAACTCCTAGAGACAGAGGTTAGTTCACTGCGGCTGGAAATGCACCGCCTTTTGGGATTCTTACTGGCCAGGAAATCGCCCGTCCATGGAACCAGTGGGAACCTCTGATGTCTAAGGCCGGGGCCCGGACAAAAGCTTATAACGCCCTAAACCTGTAGCCTTGGGTTTCATATGATGAACACCTCGGATCCCTAAACCCTAAACCCTAAACCCTAAACCCTAAACCCTAAACCCTAAACCCTAAACCCTAAACCCTAAACCCTAAACCCTAAACCCTAAACCCCAGGTTACGGAGATCGACTTGCAGTACAATGACGGCGTCAGCCCCGATGGCGCTGAGGCTGTGAATCCGCAGAGGGTTCAGAGTAGGGGCCCCCACCCCCAACACTTAAAAAGAGGGCTCTAAACCCTAAACCCTAACCTCTAAACCCCAAACCCTAAACCCCAAACCCTAAACCCTAAACCCTAAGCCCCAAACCCTAAACCCCAAGCCCCTGCAAAGATGGATACTAGGGTTTTTTGAGGTTTCGGTATAGGTGTGGAACTCTTCGCTGCAAAATCTGTTTGAAACATCCCGACCCTGGAAGGCCGTACAGGCCCTTACCCTAAACCCTAGACCCTAAACCCTAAACCCTGAACCCTAGACACTGAACCCTAAACCCTAAACCTCATGGTAAGCCCCTACAAATCTTGACATCGCGAGGCCGTCAGCGACGCTCTGCAAGTCCACAAGGCTCTGAGACTGTGCCTGTGCTGATATGGTTCAGGGTTTAGGGTTTAGGGTTTAGGGTGTAGGGTGTAGGGTCTCGGGTTTATGGCATAGGGTATGGAGTTTGGGGTTTTAGATTTTTAGAACTGGCAAGGATGAATGTGTTGGGATTTTCGGTTTGGGACTTGGGGTATTTGGATTATGTATCACAGTTGCAGGTGGCGTAAGAAACTGCAACAAGTACTCCGCTACACCAGAATTTGATACTTGTAGAACATGGTTTGCATAACACATACACACACACACAGAGTCGAGTGTACTATCTTCTGTAGTGTGAAGTTGCGTGGGCTGCCATATCACCACGGGCTCTGTGTGGAACTCGGGTGCAAAATTTCAGAAAAATAAAACCTCCGGTCAGAGTGGAGCTAAACCCTAAACCCAAACCCTAAACCCTAAACCCTAAACCCTAAACCCTAAACCCTAAACCCTAAACCCTAAACCCTAAACCCTAAACCCTAAACCTGCCCATGTCAGCTGCACCCTGGATGGGCCCAGTTGCAGTCCACCTCAGTCCACCTCGGTGAGTCCCCAGCTCAAGACAAAGGCGTTTAGAGACTTCGTCGATTTCCCCAGCCTTTGTTTGTTGAGGCGTCTTCCCCCCCTCAACCCTAAGCTCTAAGCTCTAAGCTCTAAGCTCTAAACCCTAAACCCTAAACCCTAAACCCTAAACCCTGTTGCAAAGACATGCATATCTAAAAAGAGGGCACATTATGGCGCCTATGGGAGGTGCAGATGGTAGGCCTTGGTTTGGCACCTGTTTCTGGAAGGAATCTTTTTGTAGAGGTACCAGGCATGAGACCAGGTTTAGGACCTAGGGTTTAGGGTTTAGGGTTTAGGGTTTAGGGTTTAGGGTTCAGGGTTTAGGCGATTAAGGTTTGTCGGTTCAGGGTTTAGGGTTTACAGTTTAGGGTCTACGTCGTAGGGGTTAGGGGACTCAGATCTCTTTGCAACCTCTCCGGTCATTACTGTGTGCTTGCACGTACGAGCCACGGTGCGCCAAGCTGCGTCTTGACTTCGTGAGCCGTCGTTTTCTAGGTAGGTGAGCTTCCAAGACTTTCCCGCTATAGCCCCCGCCCCCTCAAATACAGGAGAACCTGCTTTGCAAGGATTCCCTTTAACCCTAAACCCTAAACCCCAAACCCTAAACCGTAAACCTAAACCCTAAACCCTAAGTCTGCTTAGGGCTTCGGGCTTGTTCCTTCGGCCTCGACGAGCCCACGCCAAGAGGTGGCTCGAGCAAAAAGCCCATCAGACCGTCAGTTGTCAATTCCCATCTTCCCAGCAGCATCCTACCCTGAACCCCTAAACCCTAAACCCTAAACCCTAAACCCTAAACCCTAAACACCCTAAACCACCTACCAAGCCCAAACCGGAGGACGCTTAGAAACAGACCGGCATGCCAAGGATTGCAAGGGATCGAAACTTGCTGCGTGGGAACACGGAGGACGCCCCGCGATGAATATTGCGTTGCGGATAAGGGTTTAGGGTTCAGGGTTTAGGGTTTAGGGTTTAGGGTTGAGAAATTAACTCCCTTAACAATTAAGGGATTTGATGGCTTTTGTTTCGGCCAACAGCCGTACTAAGTAGGGTTTGTGGGCCATTTAGGGACACGAAGGGGATTGAGTTTGTGTCCTTTCTTCTGCTGGTCGCAGGGAAGTGTGCATGTTTTGGTGTACCTTGATGTTTCGCTCGTGTCGGATTATGGGAACCCTTCCGCGTGCAGATTGAGAGAGTGCAGGTGTAGGCAAGAAGGAAGAAAAGGACGAGACAGATTCTGGCTACAGGCAGAAGTCGGCTCTGCAACAAGCTTGATAGCCGAGTGGTGCCCCTTGCCCTTGTGTTTTGTCGTCTTTCCCTTAACCCCTAAACCCTGAACCCAAAAGGGGGTGCCCTTTTAATAGTAGGGTTAATGGACTACCAAGCAAGGGCGGGTTCCAGAAGACATGATGAAAGCCCGCATCCGCCTGTTGCGGGGTTTAGGTTTTAGGGCTTGGGGTATCCTGTTTCGTTGCCCTGCACCCATGAGAGCAGGGACCGGCCAAACACGTTTGAAGCTTAAACGTTTAAGCACTTTAAGCGCTTAAACTGTTTGAGCAGAGTTCGGGCTCGGAGCGTTGAAACAGTTTAAACAGTTCGCAAGGCCCAACGTTTGAACATTTTGTGGGGTTCCAGGGCATTTAAACATGTTTAATTAAGAAGTTGTTGCCAAGTGTTTAAACAGCTGGTGCTCTGCAAAACCCGTGAGCTGAAGCTTTGAGTGACGCCCTCAGCTTGCCCCTCTCATGATGAGAGTATAGACCACCAGTCTGGCGCAAACAGGGGTAATTATGCAGTAGGGTACCTAAAAAGGGACCAGAATTCGGAATCAGCCCCCCCCAATGTGAGAACAACTGGCACAATTTGGTTTCCTCGCCCACGAGTGTTGTCAAAGAAGGTGGTCTGTCCTGACCCTGTCACATGTCTACTGCGCTGATGGCATCATATTTTGGAGTATGGACCTCTAAACCTCTTACAAGGACATCTGTGTTTTCTTCTTTCTGTTACTACACAGCTTGTGTCCTGCAAAGCTACACTCAACAGCACCCAGTCTCAACTGCATGCAGACAGCTTAGCTTGAACAGACAGCTGCCCTCAAGCTTGTAATACAATTGACCGTATTATCCTCAAGCTCTCGGTACCTATATATAAACACCCCACACACCCACTCTCGATTTCGTAAGCAGACCGCTATAAGACCCCCAATATCGTTCGCCTAAACGTAGAATCCCCTTACAATAAGGACGCCAATAATTACCCCTAATTTCGGAGTCCCCCATATTGGTTTGGTCCAGCGCTTTGGCGTTTATGTCGGGAGACGAGAACTGCAAACCCGCCCCAAAGTCCTGAGCAACCCAATATAGTTCTCTACATTAGGTTCCTTTTTTGGGATCCCTTTGTAAAAGAGTGCCGCCTTGGGTACTCGAAAAGGATTTTAATTTAGGAAACTACCCGGAATACGGGCCATACATTGCCGTGTTTTTTTCAGGAAACGTGCGTTTTACCTGGGTTTTGACACGATTCTTGGAAACACAGGCTTCAAAATGTACAAAAAACACACACCTGTTTTTTTTTTTTTTTTTTATTTTTTTCTGCTTGGCTTTTGCTGTTACATTGTGTTTCGGTTTCTAAGATACACCGTGCTAACCTGTTGTACAAAGCGGCAAAAACGCTGTAAGTACCAGTGTTTTGGGCATGCATGGATGCTTGTGACCGCTTTGCTTGTTCCACATCCTTGTGCAGTACGTTGTACAAAGAGGCGAAAACGCTGTAAAATACCAGTGATTTGTGCATGGACGCAATATGAATGACGTTCTTATCCCCCCGCGCCCCCCTCCCTCCCCCCCCCCCCCCCCCCTGCCCCCCCCCCCCCCCCCCCCCCCCCCCCCCCCCCCCCCCCCCCCCCACTCCCCCCCCCACCCCCCAAGCGGAACAACAGGAACAGTACAGGAAATCTTAACCACCCATATACATGCACCTTAGTTTGGGCCTGTTTCCCCTTCCTTCGGTTATATGGGTTCATGGTACTTAGTAACCCAAGTATCGCCGTACGTATATTAGAGCCTATTGGGGTACTTGAGGGGTTTATAAGTGGCTATTGCTACACTTATAGATGCATCATAAGTACCCTGAACCTCCAAGTAGGTTGCTCTTGAATCACCCAAGCTACCTGGAGTCCCTGCGCGCCGCAGGTAACAGACACCTCTGCGTACGTGGAGGCCTCTTTGCACCTAAGCCACATGTCAAAGAGATCCCATGCCTTCCACCCCCCCAAAGCAAGTCTCACGACAACTAGAGGGTTGGGGGGGTTAGGGTTTAGGGTTTAGTAGGGTTCAGGGGTTTAGGGTTCAGGGTTTAGAGTTTAGGATTTAGGTGAGGTTTTAGGGTATAGGGGTCCAAAGCCCTATAAGCCCTCTTACGCCCTATCATGTGCCCTAAATCCTGTACAGCCTAAACCCGAATCCCTTATACATTCGGTGCCAGGAAGACAGCCGCCCAGGGCGAAAGCCCCCACGCCTGGAGGCCATTCCTGGCTGAACAAGCCAGTGATCACTGATGTTTTCGGGCTCCAGGGTTCAAGATTCAGGGTTTGGGGCTTTAGGGTTTAGGGTTTGGGGTTTGGGGTTCAGGGTTTAGTCTTTTTTTCTCCCGGGTTTAGGGGTTTATGGAGCTTAGGGATTTGCAGGGTTTATAGGGTTCATGGGGTTTGTTTGGTTTAGGCTTCGTGCAAAGTGGAGTTGCTGAGCAGTTTATCTTACCCTTGGGTGCAAGGTGCACAGGGCCCTGATTTCCTTCTTTCAATCGTAGTAGAGGGCACTGCATCCTTGTTGGTTATAGTTTTACATTTTTGTCATATCAAATTCCCAATGAGGAATAAATATGATCATTTTTAATATTTCCCCAACAAGGAAGTAGTAGGGAGTTGGCCACTGACGCCACCCCCGCTGAGCAAGACCTTCGACTGTGCAGCTGTAAACTGGCCCACTGGCCAAAACCCTGTGAACCCTATGAATCCCCTCAACCCTTCAAACCCCCTGACTCCCCGAAACCCCATAAATCTGATGAACCCTGTAAATCTACAAGCCCTAAAAACCTGTATGGCCCTCCCCCGCCTTGGTGCAAAACCCACTATGAACCACAAACCATCAACCGAAGGGGGGTGGGGACAGAGGGGAATTCCACGAATGCCATATAAACAATATAAACCCTATAAACCCGTGAACACTAAACCGGTCCAAGCTTCAGATCTACAAGGCCGTGGCCCGGGCGCTGCAAGAGAACCGCGCAGTCACCGCCATCCACCGGGGATTCCAGCGCATTGGCTCTGCCTCGCAGGCTGCTGGTTAAGGGTTTGTGGCGTCTAAGTTCCTCCCTCCCCTCCCTCCCCTTTTTCTCTATCGTTGTTTCTTTCTCGCTCTCTCTCTCTCTCTCGTTGTGTCTCTCTCTTTCTCTCTCTCTCTCTCTCTCTTTGTCTCTCTCTCTCTCTCTCTCCCTCTCTCTCTCTCTCGCTCCCGCTCCCTCTTCCTCTCCCTCTCCCTGTCCCTGTCCCTCTCCCTGTCTCTCGCTCGCTCGCTCACGTGTTTTTTTTTGTTTTTTTGTTTTTCTCTCTCTCACTCTCTCACACTCGCTCTCTCTCTCTCTCTCTCTTTCTCTCTTTGCTCTTATTTGTTATACGTAGGTAGCTTTTTCTGTGGCTGGTCATATCCCAGTGTTGGGATTCGTAGAGTGGCCGTCAAACTTTTTGGTGTGCTCTTCACCCACTTAGTAGCTCATCGAGCTCCACAAAAGCTCATGAAAATCCTAGTAGTAGAGTAGGTAACCCTTAACCTTTTTTGGGGGTAGTAGAATCCCCTTATAATCCCAAAGGTTAACCTTTAATTCCCCCAGGTTGCTGGACAACTAGGAAATTGAGTGCGTGGCAGAAAGCCAACAAACGAGATGCGCATAGCAGCCATGTGTCACAACACGGCAGTTCTAACATCGTGCGCCGACCCATGTTTCGGGGTGACATAAAATTGTCGCGACGCAACGCGTCAACCCATCCAGAGGAACTCCACGAAACCTTACGAAAAAATTGAGCTCGTGGCAAATGGCCAAAAATTCGAGCCGCATGTAGCAAACATATATATATATATATTTATTTATATATTTGAAACCACAGCAGTTGGACGTGGCTGCCGCTACGCAGGCTACAGATCAATACCTTCCGAAACCCCTACTCCCAAACCCTCGGCAACTCAGCAATTGTTCAGGGCCTAGGGCTTCGGGTAAGTCACCTGGAACTTGCGGGCGGATCGAGTATGGGGGATATTCAGAACTGTGTGCGTTTAATTTTGCTCAGGTCTGCACAAGAGTCCAGAGGATTTAGTCTCTGTGTGTGTTTGTGTGTGTGTCGTGGTCTGTGGCCTTCAGGTTTAAGTCAGGCTCACGACAGTGTGAGGCACGTGTGAAACCTTGTACCAGATGCAGGAAAGAAATGCCTCCAATGAAACCTAAACCTTAGTTCTAACAATCCTTATTTCAAAGCTCCAAACCCTGAACCCTGAACCCTGGCCTAAACCTTAAACCCCAAACCCCAAGACCTGAACCCTAAACCCTAAACCCTAAGCCCTAAGCCCTAAGCCCTAAGCCCTAAGCCCTAAGCCCTAAGCCCTAAGCCCTAAGCCCTAAGCCCTAAGCCCTAAGCCCTAAGCCCTAAGCCCTACGCCCTAAGCCCTAAGCCCTAAGCCCTAAGCCCTAAGCCCTAAGCCCTAAGCCCTAAGCCCTAAGCCCTAAGCCCTAAGCCCTAAGCCCTAAACCTGAACTCCCTAAACCCTAAACCCTAAACCCTCAAGTGCGAGAGTGCCAGATCTCCGAGCCAGGCCTTAGCAGAAGCTCTGGAGGTCAACGGGTCCGTGACCAGCATCAACCTTCAGGAGGGTACCATTGGCGACCAGGGCTGCAAGGTGCCAGGGCTTTTGGAGTTTGGGGCTTGGGGTGTTGTGGCGCTGATGGGAGAGGGGAGAGAGAGAGAGAGAGATACAGCGAGAGAGCACGAGAGAGAGAGAGAGAGAGAGAGAGAGAGAGAGACAGAATCTAGTGCGTGCCCCTCGGGGCGGCCCCTCCTGGGGTCATACCAAGCTAGAGAGTAAGCTCGGCAGGAGAAGAGAGGGAGACAGAGATCCCCAGCTTTCGACTATCAACCGAACTGCCTAAACCCAGGGCTGACCTCGGCTGCACGCGCACTTCAAAAACTCGCGCGCGCAATGAGCAGGGGTCGGTTTCAAGGTTCAGGGTTAGGGTTTCGGGTTTAGGATTTTAGGATTTAGGGTTTAGGGCTTCGGGTTTAGGGTTTGAGTTTTTAGGGTTTAGGGTTTTTCGGTTTAGAGACGTTGAGACAGGCTCTGGCGGAGGCGCTCAGAATCAACACCTCCATCGCGGAGATCCTTGGGAGACTTTTAGTTTGCGGGTAGTTGTGCCTCCCTAAGCCCCAAACCTTATAAAACCCCAAACCCAAACCCTAAACACTTCACTAAACCCAACAAGCCCTGAACCCTGAACCCTAAACCCCACCCGAACAAGCTCTCCTGATTTCCCCAAGTCCCCGAAATCCCACTGATTTCCCCAAGTCACCAAAATCCTGAAACCCCCTTATGTCCCCAACCCTTCAAAACTCCCCAGACCCCAATTAACCCCTCATTATGAGCCTCATCCCCGTAAACCTTAAACTCCCGAAGCCCACTAGATTCCCGCCCTAAGCCCCTAAGCCTATGCTCTATAGAGACCCTAGATCCCAAAACTCCAAACGCTAACCCTGCACCCCCCCCCCCCACCCCCAAAAAAACAAAAAGATCTACACCACCAACCTCTAAAGTGTGAACCTTAATCCTTAAACCCTAAGTTCTACATTCTGAACTCTGAACTCCAGCCCCACACCCTCATCTCCCAAGCAGACCCTAAACACCCTCAGCCTGGACCCCCAAGTCCTAAACCCTAAACCCTCAACCCTAAACCCTAAACCCTAAACCCTAATCCCTAATCCCTAAACCCTAAACCCTAAACATCCAAAATCCAAGGCTCAACCTAGCCCGGAACGACATCGGCGATGCCGGTGCTAAGGCTGGGTTTAGCCCTACAGGCCCTTTAGGGTTTAGGGTTTAGGGTTTAGGGCTAGGGTTTAGGGTTTAGGATTTAGGATTTAAGGTTTAGGGTTTAGGGTTTAGGTTCACTAAGCCCTATACCCTATGTCCCAAGCCCTAAACCCTTGCAAACCGTACACCCCAAACCTTCTAGGGTTCAGGATGTTAGGCTACACCCTAAGCTGTTTAGGGGTTAGGGTGTAAGGCTTCCGGGCGGTTTCGGGTTGGACGGCTTTAAGGCTTCGGGTTCAGGGTTTAGGGTTTAGCCTTTGCAAGAGTTTTCGAAGTTAGGTGGCACTGCTCTTGTTCGAAAAGCTTCCTGCCGTAACTGTTTGGTTGTTTTTGAGTTTTTGTCTAGAGGCACCCCTTTTGGGGAATTTCTATTCAGCAAGGGTTATGTCTCTTTTGTTTTTTTTTTTTTTTTTGGGGGGGGGGGGGGGGGGGGGGGGGGGGGTATATATAATGTGCCGCAAAATCAGATGCAGTGTTTCTCGTACCCCTTTCAAAGGGGAGTTTCTATTCAGTAAGGGTTATGTCATATATTTATTACTATTTGTTTTTCATTTTTTGTTTTTGAGGGGGGTGGGTATATATGAATGTGCCTCAAATGCAGGATTTCTCCAGGTTGCTCAATCTCCTAGCCCAAAACTTGACCGGCAACGGTGACCCAAAAAGACCCTAAGCCCTCAACCCTCAGGACCTAAACCCTAAAACCCTACAAACCCAACCCTAAGGCCCTAAACCCCAAACCCTAGAACCTAAGCCCCTAAACCCCAAACCCTAAACCCCAAACCCTAAACCCCAAACTCTAAACCCCAAACCCTGAACCCTCAGGCCATAAATCCCAAAACCTAAACCCCAAGCCCCAAACCCTCAGGCCCTAAACCCCCAAACCCTGAACGCTTAACCTTCAGTCTCAAAGGGTAGGTCGGCTCAGGGCTTGGAAGTGTTCCCGGACCGGGAGTAGGCCCCCCTTTTTTTTCTTTCGTTTTTTAGGGTTTAGGGTTTAGGGTTTAGGGTTTAGGGTTTAGGGTTTAGGGTTTAGGGTTTCAGGGTTTCAGGGTTTAGGGTTTAGGGTTTAGGGTTTGTGGGTTTAGGGTTTAGGGTTTAGGGTTCCTAGGTTAGTCCCGGGTCTAGTGTACTTGGAGGTTCATGGCACGAAACAACAAGTCAAGGCGGGTGGTTGAGTCTTTGTCTCAGGGTTGGGACTAAGGATTGCCCTAAACCCTATACGCCCTAAACCCCGAAACCCTAACCCCAAGCTGCAGCCCTAGCCCTCAAACCCTAAACCCTAAGCCCTAAGCCCTAAACCCTAAACCCCAAACCCCAAACCCCAAACCCCAAACCCCAAACCCTAAACCCTAAACCCTAAACCCTAAACCCCAAACCCCAAACCCCAAACCCCAAACCCAACCCTAAACCCTAAACCCTAAACCCTAAACCCTAACCCTATACCCTAAACCCTAAACCCTAAACCCTAAACCCTAAACCCTAAACCCTAAACCCTAAACCCTTTGCCAGGAGCTCGCTGAGGCCCTGAAGACCAATCGCTCGGTGAAGGTGCTCTCTCTGCTCCGCAACGATATCGGAGATGCAGGAGCTGAGGCCTAAACCTTAAACCCTAAACCCTAAACCCTAAACCCTAAACCCTAAATCCTAAACCCTTAGCAACCCTGTGTTCAGGGTTCGGAGTTCCCCATACCTTCCAAACCAGTGCATATGCAGAAGAATTATGGTTTGCGTTTCCCGCATTTTCCCCAAAAACATCTCGGATGTTGGGTTCTCGTTTAGGTTCCCAACGCGAGACCGCGATACTTCTTGAATGGCGTGTGCATAATGCATAGTGCGTGAATCGCACGTGGCGCGTGAATTGCGCGTCAATGATGCAGATATCCGGGAGGATTTTCGTTGAATTCCTAGACCGTAAACCCTAAACCCTAATCCCTAAACCCTAAACCCTAAACCCTCAACCCTCAACCCTAAACCCTAAACCCTAAACCCGAAACCCTAAACCCTAAGACCAAGAAGGAGCTGCGTGAAGCTAAATCGAACACGAAGTCTGTCCCCTTTCCGATACACGCGGTAACATGATGGCGCGGGGATCACGCAGGGTATGAGGCGACCCTACATCAATATCTTTTTACCCTAAACCCTAAACCCCAAACCCTAAACCTTTTCTGTGTAAATTCCGCAGACGGAACGGACTTCAACGTGGGGAGTGCATTCCGGCGCTCTAGTATTTCGGATTGTTTTTTTGTGAGTTCCTGGCTTAAGACCTTGTGACATTGTGTTTGTAAAGGTATGGTAGGCAACACTGCTTGGAGGTTCATGGTACTTCCCCAAGTATAACTGTGCTTCTGACCCAATCATAACCCTATTTGGGGACTTGAGGGGCTTATAAGTGGGTTATTACACTTATAGTTAGGTCAAACCCTCAACCCTCAACCCTAAACCCTAAACCCTAATTGGGTTACCAAGTGCCCTGAACCTCCCAGTAGGAATTCCCCCCAGTCCTCAGGAACCCCAAGCGACAGTTTGCTGTGGTGAGGCCCTGGCGGAGGCCCTCACCATCAACAGCTCCATCACGAAGGTCCGGGGTTTAGGGTTTGGGGTTTAGGGTTTGGGGTTTAGGGTTTAATTTAGGGTTTAGGGTTTGGGGTTTGGGGTTTAGGGTTTAGGGTTTTTAGGGCCTAGAGCTTTATACTGTCGAGTTCATACAGGACTTCCAGGGCGCCTACAGGGCTTTCGGGGCTTCATTGTCGAGCTTACTTGTCTAGGATGCCCAGTAGTGCCCTAATTCCCTTTTTGGGGGGGTTTAGGTTCCCTTATAAACCCCTTTAAGCAAAAAAGGGCACCCTTTTTAAGCCTTGGTTACTGGGCAGCCTAGTTGTAGGTTCATGGTACTTATGAACCAATTGTAACTGCACTTATAACCCACTTATGAGCCCCCCCAAGTGCCCTAACATGGTTACAAGTACAGTTATGATTGGTTAGTAAGTACCATGAACCTCCGAGTACATGTTGCTTTGGGTGACATCAGGGATGGACATGGTAAGGGACCCGAAGTGTCCATGTACCTTGTTAATATGCACTTGGGGGCGGGAAAAAAACCCTGGAGCGAACGTGCAAGCTGACGAAGGAAGTCCCTGCCAGGTGGACCTGATGTTCAATAGCAAGATCGGCGAAGTCGGGAAGAAGGCCCTTGAAATTAGATTGTTTAGGGTTTAGGGTTTAGGGTTTAGGGTTGAGGGTTGAGGGTTTCGGGTTTCGGGTTTAGGATTTGGGGTTTAGAAGTCGACGAGGTCTTCGCGCTTTGCTGCTGTTGCCAGGGTGTTAGTTGTGAAGTCGCCCAGGCCCTTGCGGAAGTTCACCAAGTGAATCACTCCGTGCACATTCTTCTGGGCTAGACAAAGGACTGGCGGGCTTCGTGTCCTACTGCCCTAAGCCCCTAAACCCTAAACCCCAAACCCTAAACCCTAAACCCTAAAGCCTAAACCCTAAACCCTAAACCCTAAACTGTGTTGGGAGCAAGCGCAATATCACACTTTCTAGGGGCAGCCGCCCGACATCCCAGAAATGCTTTAAGTACTATAGGGGTCCCAATAATTACTAATGGTGTTCCCTGATGGTCCCTGAATATACTACCCCTAAACCCTAAACCCTCAACCCTAAACCCTAAACCCTAAACCCTAAACCCTAAACCCTAAACCCTAAACCCTAAACCCTAAACCCTAAACCCTAAAAACCCTAAACCCTAAACCCTAAACCCTAAACCCTAAACCCTAAACCCTAAACCCTAAACCTAACCCTAAACCCTACCTATAATATCCACCCCCCCCCCCCAAAAAAAAAAAAAACACAACTCTTCGAATTATTAGGCTCCTACAGCATGTCTTCTTGGCCAAGCGGCAGGGTAGTGCACCGATCCATTTGATTTTTGCCAAAGGCAAGTCGTTGGAGGCACCCAGATTCCCGCGCTTCATGACAAAAAACAATCGAAGGGTTGAGGCTCAGGGCTTAGGGTTTAGGGTTTAGGGTTGAGGGTTGAGGGTTTAGGGTTGAGGGTTGAGGGTTTAGGGCAGTTTAGGGTTTAGGGTTTTGGGTTTAGGGTTTACCCCAAACCCTAAACCCTAAACCCTAAACCCTAAACCCTAAGCCCTACGCCCTAAGCCCTAAAGGCCCTCCATCGGCCCAGCCACCGGCGGGCCTAACCCCAGACCTGTGTAGCGTAAACCGGGAACTTTTCGCCAGCTGTTCGACTGCACGGTTCGTCTTCAGGATATCTAAGGGTAGTTACATGGTCCCTTATGGGCCCTTCAAAGGGGACCCCTTATATATACCTTATATACCCCATAAGACTCAAGGGCCCATACTTCAGAACCCTTTAAAGAAGGTAAGGGACCACATGGAGGGCCCATGTAACTACCCTGAGAGGATACCCTAAACCCTAAACCCTAAACCCTAAACCCTAAACCCTAAACCCTAAACCCTAAACCCTAAACCCTAAACCCTGAACCCTAAACCCTAAACCCTAAACCCTAAACCTCCCAAGTTCTCCGCCTCGGGTATCTCGGTACCTGTAGCCCAGTTCCAATCCGGCTGGAACTCGGGTAGCTCGTTCCATGCCGCCACCATAGCCCGCACCGTAAGCTTTGCCATGCCCTCTATCCACCAGCCATTTGACTAGCCGATCTCCAATCTCTCGCTCGTCGAGGCACGTTCCAAGTTTCGCCCATGCGAATATTGGCCTTGCCAATTTCTTGCACCTTAATTTTCAGGACGTGAATGCCGATGATGCTGATGCCCATGATGCTGAGGCTCATGTTGCTTGCGCCAATAAAAAACGGGCCCTTTGACCGTCTGCAGGGCACATATAGCCCTGCAACACCGTGGGGCGCATTTTTGCCCCACGATGATTTGATTCTTCTAGGTCTAGATATTGCCCCCGCATATTTTTCCCGAGCCCAAACCCCCAGTAAAGTTTTATATATCGTTTTGAGAAGCGGGGCCCGTGGAAGGGTGTCGGGTCCCACTAGGGGCTCACACCTGGGCCTGGGGTTCCCTTTAGCCCAGGCCAGCATGTATCATGTTGTACGTGTGTTTTGCCATCTCACGATGTAACTTCATCCAGAGTCTTCATTCATCTAGTTCGGCCTGGGCAGGGGGGGCTCTACTGTAACTAGATACAAAAAATTGGTCCTGTCAACTCAATGCCGATAAGTCGTATAAAATGTCGTTTTGTTAAAAAACGGGTGAGCCCGGCCTGGTCAGGCCCTGGGCCACCCCCCGGCATGCGGCACCGGGATACAAAAACGCGCACGAGGTCTCTATAAGATATATCTTCTAGTCGGCATTGAAAGGACACCCTAATCCCCAACTACCCTAAGTAGAAAGTTGAAAGTGTTCTGATGCTCATGTTCGCTCGAGCAATCTTGATCCGATGGGTTTCCCTGCTGAGCAACCTTGATCTGATGGATTTCCCTGCTGAGCCATCTTGATCCGATGAATGGCCATGCTGAGCAATCTTGATCTGCTGGATTTCTTGAGCCTGCCTTGCCTGCGCGAAAAGCGAGAGCGGGTGGGCGTGGCCCAGGTGCCGCGCGGACTGTGTGCTTCTGCTTGCCAGTCACCCAAAAAATCCTCCGCTGCAGCACAGACTCTGTTTTGAACCGTCGCCCAAGAAAATCCTCAGCTGCAGTACGGACTCTGGTCCTTTGCTTCCCGCCGTCAACCGACAGCATCTGCAGCCGTAGCACGGACTCTGGGCCTTTGCTTCCCGTCGTCACCCAAAAAGTCCTCAGCTGCAGCACGGACTATGGGCCTTTGCTTCGCGCGGTCGCCTGACAAAGTCCTCAGCTGCAGTACGGACTCTGGGCTTTTGCTTTTCGCCATCAACCCAGAACATATTCAGCTGCCGTACGGACTCTGGGCGTTTGCTTTTCGCCGTCAACCAAAAAATACCTACGCTGCGGCACGGACTATGGGCCTTTACTTCCTGCGGTCGCCTGACAAAGTCCTCAGCTGCAGTACGGACTCTGGGCCTTTGCTTTTCGCCGTCAAGCAAAAACATGTTCAGCTGCAGTACGGACTCTGGGCGTTTGCTTTTCGCCGTCAACCAAAAAATCGTCCGCTTCGGTACGGAGTATATGGGCCTTTGCTTCCCGCGGTCGCCTGACAAAGTCCTGCAGTACGGACTGTGGGCCTTTGCTTTTCGCCGTCAAGCAAGTAAGACCCGGACTCTGGGCGTTTGCTTCTCGCCGTCAACCAAAAACATCCTGAGCTGCAGCACGGACTATGGGCCTTTGCTTCGCGCGGTCGCCTGACAAAGTCCTCAGCTGCAGTACGGACTTTGGGCCTTTGTTTTTCGCCGTCAAACAAAAGCATGTTCAGCTGCAGTACGGACTCTGGGCGTTTGCTTTTCGCCGTCAACCAAAAGATCGTCCGCTGCGGTACGGAGTATATGGGCCTTTGCTTCCCGCGGAGGCCTGACAAAGTCCTGCAGTACGGACTCTGGGCCTTTGCTTTTCGCCGTCAACCAAAAACATGTTCAGCTGCAGTACGGACTCTGGGCGTTTGCTTTTCGCCGTCAACCAAAAAATCGTCCGCTTCGGTACGGAGTATATGGGCCTTTGCTTCCCGCGGTCGCCTGACAAAGTCCTGCAGTACGGACTGTGGGCCTTTGCTTTTCGCCGTCAAGCAAGTAAGACCCGGACTCTGGGCGTTTGCTTCTCGCCGTCAACCAAAAACATCCTGAGCTGCAGCACGGACTATGGGCCTTTGCTTCGCGCGGTCGCCTGACAAAGTCCTCAGCTGCAGTACGGACTTTGGGCCTTTGTTTTTCGCCGTCAAACAAAAGCATGTTCAGCTGCAGTACGGACTCTGGGCGTTTGCTTTTCGCCGTCAACCAAAAGATCGTCCGCTGCGGTACGGAGTATATGGGCCTTTGCTTCCCGCGGAGGCCTGACAAAGTCCTGCAGTACGGACTCTGGGCCTTTGCTTTTCGCCGTCAACCAAAAACATGTTCAGCTGCAGTACGGACTCTGGGCGTTTGCTTTTCGCCGTCAACCAAAAAAATCCTCTGCTGCAGCACGGACTATATGGGCCTTCGTTTCCCGCGGTCGCCTGGCAAAGTCCTGCAGTACGGACTCTGGGCCTTTGCTTTTCGCCGTCAAGCAAGTAAGACCAAGAACATATTCAGCTGCAGTGCGGACTCTGGGAGTTTGCTTCTCGCCGTCAACCAAAAACATCCTCAGCTGCAGCACGGACTATGGGCCTTTGCTTCGCGCGGTCGCCTGACAAAGTCCTCAGCTGCAGTACGGACTCTGGGCCTTTGCTCTTCGCCGTCAACCAAAAACATTAAACATGTTCAGCTGCAGTACGGACTCTGGGCGTTTGCTTTTCGCCGTCAACCAAAAAATCGTCCGCTTCGGTATGGAGTATATGGGCCTTTGCTTCCCGCGGTCGCCTGACAAAGTCCTGCAGTACGGACTCTGGGCCTTTGCTTTTCGCCGTCAAGCAAGTAAGACCCGGACTCTGGGCGTTTGCTTCTCGCCGTCAACCAAAAACATCCTGAGCTGCAGCACGGACTATGGGCCTTTGCTTCGCGCGGTCGCCTGACAAAGTCCTCAGCTGCAGTACGGACTCTTACTGGGCCTTTGTTTTTCGCCGTCAAGCAAAAACATATTCAGCTGCAGTGCGGACTCTGGGCGTTTGCTTTTCGCCGTCAACCAAAAAATCCTCCGCTGCGGTACGGACTATGGGCCTTTGCTTCCCGCGGTCGCCTGACAAAGTCCTTTGTGGGCTTTGCTTGCCGCCTTAGCCCACAAAATCCCGCACTGCGGGTTGGGCAACTTTCATCCCATGGGTTCATCGTTCATCCGACGGGTTTCTCTGCTGCGCAGTTTTGATCCGATGGGTTTCCCTGCTGATCAGTTTGGATCCGATGGATTTCCCTGCTGAGAAAGCTTGACCCGATGGATTTCCCTGCTGAGAAAACTTGACCCGGTGGATTTCCCTGCTGAGCAACGTTGATCCCATGAATTTCCTGGCTTGCCCCTCCCTGCGTGAGAAGCGAGAGCGAGCATGGCTCAGCTGCAGTACTGACTCCGCCGTCACCGACACGAGCTTGAGCTGCTTTGCATCCCGCCTTAGCCCGCAAAATTCTGAGAAGTTACTGGAACAGTCCCACGCCGCAGTACGGATTTGGGCCTTTGTTTCCCGCCGTCGCCGAAAAACACCCTCAGCTGTACGGACTCTGGGCCTTTGCATCCCGCGGTCACCCAACAACTTCGTCGAGCTTCGTCTTGCCCTTTGGGCGTGCCCGGGGGTTCGTCGAACTTCCCTGCGTCCCGCTCATCGCCCGTCCTGATGCATTTTGCCCTTAATAGGGTTGAAGGGTCTTAAAGGC